GATAACGATCAGAATAGCTGGCATCCACAACATGCGCAAGCTCAAACCAGGATGGGTGGGACAACCGATAACTCCGTTCGGAGCATCGTTTAGCAGATACGACAAGCAGTTTGTAGCTCGTCATCTTAAGACAAATTGAGTGTTTAGCTCGTTGCAAATTGGTTAGACCGGCTGGTGACCTTCCTTTGTGAGATAATCGACCCTTTACGCTGCCCGGAAATCAATCGCAGTTTTTGACCTTCATTGCTAAAAGACATATCTCATCTTAGCGCGAGTATTACCAATGAGAATAAAAACCGCTGTTGTCTGCACATCTCCGCGAATAAGGGAGTAAGGTGCATTCACTCCTCTTGCACAAAAGTATGGAGTTCTTGTGCCGATGGTCTCACTGAAATCGTCACCTTTCTCCTGGGCTTGAATTCTAGCCACTTTACTTCGAAGAAGTTGTCGAGGCTCATCAAGAAGTAGTAGTATATGAGGTAGTATATGCGGGAGAGGTCCGACAAATATGACGAGTGAGGCTGGGTACGTGTTCGGATTTGTTCGCGTTTTGGAGCCTTTTTGTGCGACGTGGAGCCGCATTGCTGTGAGAAATGACAAGCTTATCGCTTTCGACTAACGATAAGGTCGTTCCCAGCTCTTGGGGTACCTGATGGACTTGGTCCTACTTCGAAATTTACTCCTCTGCCGTAACCGTTTCACTAACCTTTCAAGAAGCTGTCGGTAAGGCCTAAAGCGGACCAACACGCACCCAGTATGACCTGCAGTTGGTACATTTTTGTCTTGAAGGATGGTGTCCCCTCAATGCGGTCCAAACTGAGCCGATCCTCTTTTATTAGCAGGAAGGGTCTAATTCTAATTTTCAGTCCTATGCTACAAAACTCTCAAATAGAATCGTTCGTTGCGCAAAAAAAGCGCCAATAGAATGAATGAATCATCATATATTATCTATACCTTCTTTTCACACAAAAAGTGTAACAGTACAACCCCCGCCAATGATTTGTTGCCAAAACTTGCACAGAAGAAGCAGCAGTAAGATTGAAATTAATTTTTGGACCCCCCAATAGAGTTAGTTACAGTACTGTACTGTCGGCTCGCCACACACAGTAGCGAAAAAT